CTCTTGATTCGTGAATGCAATTGGCTTAACTATTTGATGATTAACTTATTTGTGTTTGTTGATTGAGGGTCGACACTTAATTAGCATGCATGAATATGTGGCTAAAGTTTAAGAAGGTTTCACATAATCGTCACTAACTTATACTTGAAAGTAGTGAAGGTCGCTTGTCACGATCGCGTTAAGTTTAATTCTTAGCATGAGTAACATGATGTCATAGTTGCAAGTGCTTTGTCAATGCTTATGGTTTTCATTATTCTTAATGATCTTCGATTGTATCTCTATTATGATGACATGTAGGGAACTTTTGAGAATGTTTTGGGTTGTCGAATGATGCCATCCAATCCAATAATATAAGGAAAATCTGAGGGTTAACTAGTGATGTCACGGTTAATTTGGGGCATTGTCGTTCATAATTCAATGAAGGAATAACTGGAAATTGATTCATATGCATAAATATCATGTGTGGAGAAAGAACCTCTAGCTAATTCACCAACCATCTTATTTCATCAATTACATTCTGTCTAGTTATTAACTTGTTTCGTTATTTCAATTCTCGTCAAACCTCAAATCCCCCTTTTGCTTTAATGTGCAATATAGTTAGAAATCAATTTAGTTTGTGTTTTTAAAGCATTTTGATTCTTTTGGTTTGTCTTAGTGTTTTAACGTTTAGTTTCACATTCTTTGAGTCTAATTTAACGTTTTATATTGTTTTTACGTTTTAGTTTAAATTCGTCCAAATCCAATTCCCCCCTATTTCGTTGAAGTCTTAGTCTTAATCTTTCTTATTTTTAGTTTTGCTTTCTTCGAGCATTAAATAGTGTTTTATATTGTGTTTTTATGTTTTTAAGTCAATTTAGAAGGTTTTAGCAAGCCCTCCTAATCCCCGGTCTAGAACGATCCCTCACTTATCCATTCTACTACAATTGTCAAACGAGGGTTTAATTTGAGTGTCAAGTAATTCTCGCATCAATCTCCGACCTGGATTGTCACTTAATACGCATATTTGCAGGATTCGTAAAGCAAGCAGAGGCAATCTCATGGATTGGTATTCGAGTCATAAATATGTCAACAAATTTCATACTAGTCCAGATACTCTGCTTCACCAACAGATTTCGTAATCTTAATTGATAAATTCAGTTAATAACACATATCATAAGTCACTAGGCGATGCATGAACGAATGGCTACCTGAATTGGACTCGATAGTGGAACAACTCCCTCCTCCAATGTAGCATTCAAGGGAAGGATGCACCGAAACTTGTCAAAACTAAAAAGATGCAAATCAATTTCATCATGGTCTTTCTATAAATGCCAACAAAGTGGCATCTACTATATCTTTAGACAATAAATTAACAATCAACTCAATAGTTGACGCATCTGCAGAAAAACCCCTCTCCACCATTTCATGAATAAGCCTCACTCCCGTTGATGTCTCGTTGTTATTGATAAACCCTCGGATAATTGTGTTGTACGTCCAACCATTTGGAGAACAGCCTTTCTCTTCCATTTCTCTAAGCAAGTTTTCGGCTTCACATATTTGCCCCCCATTACAGAATCCACGAATCATTATAGTATATGTCTTGACATTAGGTTGAATTCCTTTTGATGATAAACGACGAAAGAGATCCCATGCATATTCAACTTTTTCAGCTTTGCACAAACCATCAATAAGAATATTATAAGTTACCATATTAAAATCCAACTTCTTTCCCTCCATCTCTTCCAACAATTCAACTGCCTTGGGAAATTGTTGGTTTGCACACATGCCATGCAATAAAATAGAATAAGTTTGAATGTCCGGAAGTTGGCTACAAGCTTGCATTTGAGAGAACAAGTTCTGTGCATCTTGTGTTCTCCCCATCTTGCAAAACCCATCCATAAGAGTGTTATAAGTAACCGTATCTGGAACAACTCCCTTATGAGACATTTCCAGAAAAATCATCCGAGCATCATCTATCTTTTTACTTTTACAGTAGCCGTTTATCATTATGTTATAACTACAAGTATCAACCATGCAGCCTTTGCTAAGCATTACTTCAAAAATCTTTTTCGTCTCGTCCATTTCTCCTCGCAAACAGTAACCATCCATAAGTGAATTGTTTGTAATTGTATTAGGTTTGATATCTTTTTGAATCATCATCTCAACCACGCTCCTTGCTTCCTGGACCATACCCTCTTTGCAGAATGTATCAACCAAAACATTGAAGGTGCACACATTTGGAAAGATTTGTTTCTCCACCATTTCATTAAACAATCTTTTAGCTTCTTTCCAATTCTCTACTTTGCAAAATCCATGAATCAAAGAGGTATAGGTAATGATGTTGGGAGCAATGCCCTTACTCATCATTTCTAAGAAGAGGTTCAGTGCATCAACAACTAGAGCATCCTTGCAAAGACTGTCAATGATTGTGCTATAAACAACTATGTTAGGCTTGCAAGCTCCTTCTTCCATCTTCTTAAGCAATTGGATTGCTGCAGTGTTGTTACCTTTCAAGCAAAGGCCCTTTACTAGTGTACCAAAAGTAACCACATCAAGCTTGCAATTACCTCTCTCCATCATTTGTTGAAAACTGCTGCTGCCTCGGCCTCTCTATTCTTAAGAAGAAAGCCGTTGATTAGAGTGGTGTAGGCTGTGACATTTGGCTCAAAACCTAATTTGAAGAAGTTACCCAAGACTGACAAACTAAACTCCATTTGGTTGAGATGACAAAAGCAATTAATAATAATGGCTAGAGTATAAACATCTGGACGAATTCCGGACACAACCATTTGGTTATTCAAGGAGATGACTGCCGAATAATGTTTCAACTTGGCAAGTTGAGTCAAGATTTGGTTGAAAGGGATAACGGAAGGCAGAGGACGCCTTTGAAGCATTTCGTCGAACATATTGAGAGCATCCTCAACATTAGTGATTTTCACACGACGGTGTTGTTGGGTGTTTCTTGATTCCGTCGATTTAGAAGCTCGAGAGTGAAACAAAACCAAGTAATTGTTGAAGAAAACAACAACAGAAGAAGATTGAACAAGACAAAATAGCATACCTCCGAATCTGAGTCCGAGTCTGCTGCTGCCATAACCAACTTTCAAAGAAGAAGAAGAAGCAGCAGCTGTTGTTTTCCGCATCATCTTCAGCGAGTCAGTGAGTAAAGCCTCCTTCCGAAAAACGTTTGCTGAGGATGATATATGGAGGAAAGAATCTGCTTCAACCTGTTAACTTTTGCTTTTCTTCTTAGTTTGAAAACAAGAAGGGTAAAGCTCTCAAGCTTCAATATCCCTATTTGACGGGGAAAGTTAAAGACAACTACCTAATAAAATAGGTCAGAATAGTAATATCGTACCATTCCCAAATTTAGGGTGCGTATTCAATTAGTAATTTAAGAAATTTAAATAGATTTATAAATTTATAGATTTTTATGGAATTTAACATATTTGTAAAGATTTTATATAAAATTTTGATTGAATTCTCTCGAAATTTCATAGAGAGATGTGAGATTTGTGGATGTTTATAATACACTACAAAATCTCTCTAATTTCCTCTAATTCCTCAACTTTTCCAAATTCTAATTGAATACACATGAAATGTTATAAACCTTTTTAAAATTCTAATTGAATACACATGAAATGTTATAAACCTTTTTAAAATTCTAATTGAATACACCCGATTTCTAAGGATTTTAATAAATTATTTTAAAATCCTGATTGAATATACTTTGAATTTTAAATAATCATTTAAAATTCTAATTGAATACGCCTAGATTCATTAAAAGAATTTAAATCCCTCAAAATTTCAATTGAATACACTCCTAATTACCAACAGGACTTGTGAACCTGCATTTCAACAACTCAAGGCATTTGTTTCGATGGTGAACTTGCCGGAGAGCACAGTTCGGAGCGTATATGGAGAGTTCCACTTTGAGAGATTCTAATTAGCGTTTGACTTGATTCCTATTTGGCTAATATATGCATTTTTAAAATTAGCTCTGATGGTTTTGTTCATGCCAATGGTATTATGGTAATGCTGCTGCAGCGTTTCTAATTCGAGATTATAATAGTAATCCAATAAAAAGAAACCTTACATTTTCAAGCCTATACCACCAATGGATATGTCAACTTATGCTTCGAGCTTCATGCCAGCAGGTCTCTTGGATCACTCCGAGAGGTAGCACGACCACACTTTCTAGGGTTCACTAGAGTTAAAGTGGTTGCAAACTCAAATCAGTCTTCATTCATGGTAGTAATCTGTAAAGATATCCAGATTCTTACAACATCTTATGCTGGTGCTCGTTTTAGGAAAGAAAGGCTTCCTGAGAAGTACATAGCCGTTGTATCAGGTGTCCCTTCTGGTTTTCACCCAGGAGCTTGTAGTACTCGCAGACTCGCAGTTGGAAGGAAAAGTCCGCCAGTTTTTGCCTTGTATTGGGATATGAAATCGCAACTTTCTCTTCAGGTTGGTAATTACTAGCATATGCTCGCTTAATTAAACACCGTCAGTTGGGAGAAGGCATAACTGTAATGATTAACGCCACATTTATGCCAAATTGAGCTCTTCCAAATTGCTGGTCTTTTACTAGTCATCCAGTCTGTTTATCATCCCAGCACTATTGAAATTTACTCAACACCTGTACCTGTTAATATGGGGGGATTGTTTGGGGCATGCATCTTAATTCTTCAGCCCTGAGCATCCTCCCTGTCCTGGATTCAGAAATGGAAGACTGATGGAGCCAAACATTTACTTGCAATTGCCTTCTTATTGGACATACATTACCAACAGGACTCGTGAACCTTCATATCAACAACTCAAGGCATTTGTTTCAATGGTGAACTTGCAATATTTTAGTGCAGATAGAAAAATGATTAAGAAAAGATGGAATTCGTATATTCTTTGTTTAATCACATCTGACATCGTTTGATCGGATACAGATTGTACCTTTCATGATGGAATTCGGATCTATCATTTGATCAGATGTGTATTGTAATTTGTATCTGGTGTTGGAGCAGCTGCACAAGTTTAAGAAATGGATTGAGTCCTCCTCCTGTAGCTATCATTTCTTCCATTTCTTCTTTCATCAGACCCATATCCTTTAAAATTAAGTATACATAATCTCCTCAAGATAATTATTACCAAAAAATAAAAGAGAAGTTAAACCAAGCCATAAATATGTCTACGAATTTCATATCAGTCCCATTACTCTGCTTTTTCAACAGATATCATAATCTTAAAAGATGATAGCTTCAATTAATAACACATATCATACATCACTAGCCAATGCACGAATGAATGGCTACCTGAACCGCGCTCAGCAGCAAAACAACTCCCTCCACTGTAGCATTCAAGAGAAGGAAGCACTGAAACTTTGTCAAAATGCAAAATAATTTCATCACGTTCTTTCTATAAATGCCAACAAAGCATGATCTACATTATCTTTAGACAATAAGTTAACGACCAACTCCGTAGTTGATGCATCTGCAGAAAACCCTCTCTCCACCATTTCTTGAATAAGCCTTACCGCTGTTGATGTCTCGTTGTTATTGATAAACCCTCGGATAATTGTATTGTACGTGCAACCAACTGGACAACAACCTTTCTCTTCCATTTCTCTAAGCAAGTTTTCTGCTTCACTTGCTAGTCCCCGGTTAGAAAATCCACTAATCATTATGGTATATGTCCTGACATTAGGTTGAATTCCCTTTGATGATAAACTACGAAAGAGATCCCATGCATATTCAACTTTTTCAGCTTTGCATAATCCTTCAATAAGAATACTGTAAGTTACAATATCAAAATCCAACTTCTTTCCCTCCATCTCTTCCAACAATTCAACTGCCTTGGGAAATTGTTGGTTTGCACACATGCCATGCAATAAAATAGAATAAGTTTGAATGTCTGGAAGTTGGCCACAAGCTTGCATTTGAGAGAACAAGTTCTGTGCATCTCGTATTCTTCCCATCTTGCAAAACCCATCCTTAAGAGTGTTATAAGTAACCGTATTTGGAACAACTCCCTTATGAGACATTTCCAGAAAAATCATCCGAGCATCATCTATCCTTTTACACTTACAATAGCCTTTTATCAATATGCTATAAGTACGAGCATTAACCATGCAGCCTTTGCTAAGCATTATTTCGAAAACCTTTTTCGCCTCGTCCATTTCTCCTCGCAAACAGTAACCATCTATAAGCGAATTGTATGTAATTGTATCGGATGCTTTATCCCCTTGCGTCATCATTTCGACCACACTCCTTGCTTCCTGGACATGCCCTCTTTGCAAAATCTATCAACCAAGACATTGAAGGTGTGCACATTTGGAAATATAGGTTTCTCCACCATTTCATTCAACAATCTTGTAGCTTCTTTCCACTTCCCTACTTTGCAAACTCCATGAATCAAAGAGTTATAGGTAATGATGTCAGGAGCAATGCCCTTACTCGTCATTTCTACAAAGAGGTTCAGTGCATCAACAACTAGAGAATCTTTGCAAAGACTGTCGATGATCGTGTTGTAGACAATTACGTTAGGCATGCAAGCATTTTCTTCCATCTTCTTAAGCAATTGGATTGCTGCACTATTGTTACCTTTTATGCAAAGATCCTTAACTAATGTGCCGAAAGAAACCACATTCGGCTTGCAATTACCACTCTCCAACATTTTATTGAAAAGTGCTGCAGCCTCGGCCTCTCGATTCTTAAGAAGAAAGCCGTTGATTAGGGTGTTGAAGGTCGCGACATTTGGTTCAAAACCCAATTTGAAGAAGTTTCCCAAGACTGACAAACCAAACCCCATTTGGGGCAAATGGCAAAAGCAATTCATGATAATGTTTAGAGTATAAACATTAGGATGAATTCCGGACACAACCATTTGGTTATTCAAGGAGATGACTGCCGAATAATGTTTCAAATTGGCAAGTTGAGTCAAGATTTGGTTGAAAGGGACAACGGAAGGCAGCAATCGTTGCCCGCATCATCTTTAGCATCTCTAAGTTAGCGAGTTGAGAGTTGCTCACAAATCAAAGAGTTGTGAGAGTTCAAGACCATGAATTTCATGTTTTTTTTTTTTTTCTAGTTCTAGATAAACGCAAATTGAAAATAAATACACAAATCAACGAGAAAAAATGATTCATTTTTGTTGGGAGAATATAAGCATGAAGAAGAACAAGCCCAAGTCTCAAATAATTCAAACTACTACATTTAAATCTCTTTTATTCAACATTCGCGTTAAAGCTTAAAATTTAGGTTTTAAACCCCCTCTTTTAGAACATCCACGATAAGAAAAGACATTATTATGATTTTAACAAATGAGCAGAGCAGGTGAAAGCATTATCATGATTTTAAACTTGGACTTAATTAAATTTGCTTGAGTCTATATATAAGTGATTAAGATATTTAAAAAAAATAAATAAATGGTTCGGTCTGGTTCTAAGGTTCTACCAAGATGAAAATCGGAATGGATATGAATGGTTTGATCCGGTTCTTGAACGTAAGTTGACTTTTTTTGTCAACATGGTTTTTTCCGGTTTATAACGTCGTTGTTCGATTTGGTTCTATGATTTTTATGTCCATCCCTACAATTATATATAGAAATAAGGGCCCGTATTTCATACGACATGTCTTAGATTCAATCTTGATGCTGGTGAATTACAGGATGGTCGTCAGGGGAGGCTGAAATACTTCTGTAAGTCTTTCCAACATATGATACTACATTAAAATTGAACATTTTTTAATTTTTTTTTAACAAACGATATTATCTATACCAAGAGGGAAGTAGTGGTCAACGTCTCACAATAGGATAGTCATATTAATGTGGTTAAAATCTAAGACATCTCGTTTACAAGTGAATATGAATATCACTAGTATTAAGAGGCAATGGAAAACGTTATTAGATGCAAAAGTGAGAAGTACTGAGCATGAAAGTTTTGCATGCTTAAAGCCGTGAAACAAGTCAGCAATGAAGAGCACCTGTATTCAACAATTGTCCATGTCTGAATTGTGTGAGTTACAAACTTCAACTTCGTTCTTCACTTAAAATACATATAGCACTAAGTCAGGTGTCAAATTTACAAACTAATTAGGTAATTATGCACTAAAAATCTGATGGCAAACTGAAAATTACAACATAACGATAATATAATAAGGTGTCAAGTTAAGTAAGATAGTACAAAACATGAACAATTAAGATTACCATTGAGCAAAACCGAACCTATATGACTAAGATAATGGTTGACAAACTCAGATTGTTCCTCCAAGCATGCATAGAAGCGTCTTTAGCCTTTCAAAATACATCACAATAATATATTATTGCTTAAATTTCTAACCCTAATGAAAAGTAAACTTAATAAACATAGGAAATTACAGCTTAAGAAAATAAATTATATGCGAATGTGCAACGGTTGAGGAAAGAAATGCAAAAGCTGAACGGGCAAACGGAAACATTTGGTACTTCACACTCTCTCATTTTTCTCTTTCTTCTTCCTCTTCCAGCAAACTTTCGTATAATTGTGTGTAACCATTTCTTGTAGTCTTACAATTGTAGGGTTTTGCACAAAAAGAAAGAGGAGATGCTGACGTTTGGTGGGTTGCTCTTATTAATTTTTTTTTGGTAAATTACATCTTACTCTCTCATATTTGTGGTTAATTGTAACCTCATACAACATTTTTAAAACATTTCAATTACATACATTTGCTTATTATTTCATTTTAATTTCATACATCTTAGTCAATCTGCTAATTTGACCGTTAAATGATAATGTAGCAACTATGGATCCCATATTTTTCTAATTAGTTTTTTAAACTTTTATGGGTACATCTTTTTCGTTGATTTGAAAATGCATTCATGCCAAGTTATTTGAAGAAATTTATTAATATTATTAGGCATGATATCTATTATTATTATTATTATTATTATTATTATTATTATTATTTTTCGTGGTTCTAAAGAATGTATTGATATTTTGGGTTTGAAGAATTTATCAAACGTTTTATGGTACAGTAACTTTTGGTTAATATTGATGAATGTATTATACATATGTACACAATATGTTCTATAATATTTGTGAGTACTTACTTTTTATGGCAAAAAATGATTTTCTACATTGGGATCATTGTCTCATCATCCTATCCTGAGACGTTTGGTTGTTTTTACATTTAGTTTCTTAAGTTTTTGGACAATAATAAAAAAAGCTTTGTATGGCCACGTTGCAAACGTAACGTATACTCCCTACAAATATTGGTCTTCCAATTTACATGATCATGCAAATAGAGCACCACAAGCATGGCTAAAACAAAAAAAAAAAAAAAAAAAAAAAAAAAACAACAAATGAAAATAAATCGTTGCCTGAGAGGTTCAAACTCTTGTGGGGGATCCCCATGCACTTAGCAAGCACACACCTTAACCACTCGGTCAAAGCGACTGTTGATGATGTAGGAGGCTATTCATCTTTTTTAATTAGCTATTTAATTAAACAAAAATTAAAAATAAATCGTCCCCTGAGAGGTTCGCACTCTTGCGGGGGATCCCCATGCACTTAGCAAGCACACGCCTTAACCACTCGGCCAAAGCGACTGTTGATGACATAGGAGGCTACTCATCTTTTTAAAGTAACTATTTAATTAAACAAAAATTAAAAATAAATCGCCGCCTGAGATGGGAGGCTGACATCTGATGGGTTTCTCTTATTAATTTTTTAAGTAAATTACATTTTATTCCTTTAGGTTTGTGGTCAATTGCAACCGCATACAATATTTTTGAAACATTTTAATCACATACCTTTACTTACTATTTCATTTCAACTTTATACATCTATTAGTTAATTTGACCGTTAAGTGATAATATGTCAACTATGGATCCCACCTTTTTGCTGATATGATAGTCAAATTTGTCCGCATTGATTAAAAAATAAATTATAAATAAAAAATTGAGCCCCACCCCTTAAAGCTTAGTTCGCATCTATTCCAAAATCCAGCTCATTCTCGCCAGAAAACGCTGACCATGGCTGTTGCCATTACCACAACATTAAGTGTCACATTCCCGTCTCGACTCCACCATAGTACGATATCATCCGTTTTGGGCCCCGACCACACCCTCACGGTTTTGTTTATGGGAACTCACACGAGAACTTCCCAGTGGATCACCCATCCTGGGATTGCTCTCGCGCGAACTCGCTTAACTTCGGAGTTGGTATTAGAGCCAGGTTTGTTCAGAGCATACTTAGGACCTTCTGTTACTGTAGTAGTGTGTCTGTCATGACGTCATTTGGATGTCACGACCTCTAGATTTGGTGCCATTCGACGCAGTTGTGCAAACCCTTCTCTCTTTGAATTGTCACCTTCTGGTTGAAATACAAGAATTCGTGTCGGGATCGGAGCGTGTCATTGAGTCTAGTTGATTTTCAATTTTTTAATCTCTTAAACATACCTATTTGCATAATTTTTCCATTTTTTAAATATACCAATTGTTATATGTAAAATGTACCAATTTCTTTTAATGTAAAGCGTACCCATTTTTTTTTATTTAAAATCCATTCACTTTTTGTTTTTATTTTTTATTGGAATAAGTCAATATTTTGGAGAAAAGGAATGTAAATATTTTGTAATTATTAGAGTCATGTTTTAGGAAGGATATATGTTTGTGTCCTTTATTGTTTATTGTTTCCTTATAGAACAAGGATTGTATCTTGTATATATATTTTCAGTTATGCAATATAATGATAATTAAACCGTAAATTTCATTTTGTTCCTATAGTGTCCACCAATACTCTAACTCCTCGTGTGTTTGGGTGTGTGGTCTATGTTCATATTCACAAGAATCATCGCAGTAAGTTGGATCCATGTGCTCATCGGTGTGTTTTTCTTGGATTTGCTCCTCAACAGAAAGTGTATAAGTGCTACTATCCTGAAACTCGCCATATGTACGTGACCATGGATGTTACTTTTTCTGAGTCCAAGTATTTTTATGCTTCAATTCCATCATTTTCTGATCACCAGGGGGAGAAGAGTGTTGGTGATCTTGAGTGGTTGGAAATATAGCTCAGGGGGAGCGTCTGTTGAAAATGAAAGCTATGAAAGCTCTCGGCAAGGAGACAGTCAGGGCTTTCAACAAGAAGATGCTGAGAATTGGAGTATCGTTCAGCCACTGAGCGCCGAAAAGCTTGAGTCTTGTTGGCAACAACCTGCCGAGTATGATGCAGAATGTCGACAGGAATCTGCCTAACCAATAACGCCATCCCAGCAACTAGTAGCTACCGAATCCACAACCCCCTATCTCTCGAGCTCGATAATGCCACCCAATGTGTCTTCTTTGGATATTCCTGAGGTTAGTTCCACTAATGCTCATGTAACTAATCCAGATAATATTGTGAGTACATATAAGTTGCCGCAAAGGCAAAATCGTGGTGTTCCTCCTGATGGAAAACTTGTGGACACTCCCATCGTAGAGAAACATTATTTGGGGATTTATAAAGATCAGGAACCAGTTGACAAAGGTAGATATCAAAGACTAGTGGGAAGGCTAGTTTATTTGTCTCACACTCATCCGGATATTGCCTACACCGTAAGCGTGGTTAGTTAATTTATGCACTCACCAAGTGTGAATCATATGGCGGCGGTAATGAGAATCTTGGCATATTTGAAGTCTTCCCTAGGTAAAGGAATTTTGTATGAATGTCATGGACATATGAGGATTATGGGATTTACTGAAGCTGATTGGGCAGGTAATGTGAACAATAGAAGGTCTACATCTGGGTATTTTACCTTTGTTGGAGGTAGTTTGGTTACTTGGCAGAGCAAGAAGCAGAATGTGGTATCTCGGTCCTCTACTAAAGTCGAGTATAAGGGTATGGCACAGGGTGTGTGTGAGATTCTTTGGCTACAGATGTTACTTTGGAGTCTTAGTTTTAAACAAAAAGAGGCAATGAAGTTGTATTGTGATAATAAGTCCGCAAGAGAAATTGCTGAGAGTCCAATATAGTATGACAGGACTAAGCATGTTGAGGTTGATAGACATTTTATCAAAGAAAAGTTGGAGAAGGAGATTGTGTCAATACCGTTTGTGAACTTGGAGGAACAACTTGCAGATATTCTTACCCATGCCATGTGTAGTAGGAGGTTCGATGACTCGCTTGTCAAGTTGGGCATGAGTAATATATATGCTCCAGCTTGAGGGGGAGTATTGGAATAAGTCAATATTTAGGAGAAAAGGAATGTAAATATTTTGTAATTATTAGAGTCATGTTTTAGGAATGATGTATGTTTGTGTCCTTTATTGTTTATTGTTTCCTTATAGAACAAGGATTGTATCTTGTATATATATATTTTCAGTTATGCAATACAATGATAATTAAGTTGTAAATTTCAATTTCTTTCTAATCTATTTTTTTAACTCATATGGGTACATTTTTCTCGTTGATTTGAAAATGTATTCATGTCAAGTTATTCGAAAAAAATAAATCGTCACTTGAGAGGTTCGAACTCTCGTGGGGGATCCCCGTGCACTTAGCAAGCACATGCCTTAACCACTCGGCCAAAACGATTATTGATGACGTAGGAGGCTACTCATCTTTTTTTAATTAACTATGTCGTTAAACAAAAATTAAAAATAAATCGCCTCCTAAGATGTGAGGCTCACGTTTGATGGGTTTCTCTTATTACTTTTTCGAGTAAATTACATTTTATTCCCTCAGGTTTGTGGTCAAATGCTACCGCATACAATATTTTTGAAACATTTTAATCACATATCTTTACTTACTATTTTACTTCAACGTTGTATAGCCGCTTAATACTACGGTTTAGTGGTATTTCTCTTCACTAATAAGTGAGAAGCCTTAGGTTCGATTATCGTCAACAGCGTATTTGAAACACATTATTGATAGCCCATTGTGTCTTAGATCACTCCCCACCTGTTAAGTGTACAAAATATCGTATATTAAAAAAAAAGGAAAATCGTTTTATAATGCAAGAGCTGTAAAATAGTATTACAAAAAAAAGGTTAAACAAGCAGTTATCACGTTCAAACACGACTAGTTATTCAGGTTGTGCAAGGTTTGAATTAAGAACTAGTCTTGGACTCTTATCTACAACCTGGATTGTCACTTAATATGCATATTTGCAGTATTCGTAAAGCAAGCAGAAGCAATCTCATGGATTGGTATTTGAGTCATAAATATGTCTACAAATTTCATACTAGTCCATATACTTTGCTTCATCAACAGATTTCATAATCTTAATTGATAGATTCAGTTAATAACACATATCATACGTCACTGGGCAATGCATGATCGAATGGCTACCTGAACTGGACTCGACAGTGGAACAACTGCCTCCTCCAATGTAGCAATCAAGGGGAAGCACCGAAACTTGTCAAAACTTGTCAAAACTAAAAGGATGCAAATCAATTTCATCATGGTCTTTCTATAAATGCCAACAAAGTGGTATCTACTCTATCTTTAGACAATAAATTAGATCAACTCCGTAGTTGATGCATCTGCAGAAAAACCCCTCTCCACCATTTCTTGAATAAGCCTCATTGCCGTTGATGCATATTCAACTTTTTCAGCTTTGCACAATCCTTCAATAAGAAGATTGTAAGTTACAATATTAAAATCCAACTTCTTTCCCTCCATCTCTTTCAACAATCCAACTGCCATAGAGAGTTGGTGGTTTTCACAAAAACCATCCAGCAAAATATTATAAGATTGAACATCTGGAAGTTGGTCACTAGCTTGCATTTGAGAGAACAAGTTTTGCCCATCTTGTGTTCTCCCCATCTTGCAAAACCCATCCATAAGAGTGTTACAAGTAACCGTATTTGGAACAACTCCCTTATGAGGCATTTCCACAAAAAGCATTCTGGCATCATCTATCCTTTTAGGCTTACAATAGCCGTTTATCAATATGTTCTATAACTATAAGCATCAACCATGCAATCCTTGCTAAGCATTAGATCAAAGATTTTTTCGCCTCGACCATTTCTCCTCACAAACAATAACCATCCACAAGCAAATTGCAAGTAACTGTATCAGGTCCAATATTGCTTTGAATCATCATTTCAAACATGTTCCTTGCTTCTTGGACCATCCCCTCTTTGAATAACGTATCAGCCAAGACACTAAATGTGGGCACATTTGGAAGTATATGTTTACGCACCACTTCACTCAACAATCTCGTAGCTTCTTTCCACTTCCCTATTTTGCAGACACCGTGAATCAATGTGTTATAGGTAACGACAGTTGGGGAAATACCCTTACTAATCATTTCTGAGAAGATGTGCAGTGCATCAACAACTAGAGTATCTTTGCAAAGACTGTCGATAATCATGTTATAGATAACTACGTTGGGCTTGCAAGCTCCTTCTTCCATCTTCTTAAGCAATTGGATAGCTGCAATGTTGTTACCTTTCATGCAAGGGGCCTTTACTAAGGTGCCGAAAGTAACAACATTTGGCTTGCAATTACCACTCTCCAACATTTTATTGAAAAGTGCTACTGCCTTGACCTCTCTATTTTGATGAAGAAAGCCATTGATTATGGTGGTGTAGGTTGAGACATCTGGTTCCAAATTCAATTTGAAGAATTTTCCAAAGACAGATAAACCGAACCCGATATGGTGCAAATGGCAGAAGCAATTAATGATAATTGTTAAGAGTATAACCATCAGGATGAATTCCCGACATACCCATTTTATTATTCAAGGAGATGACTGTTGAGTAATGTTTCAACTTGGCAAGTTGACCCAACACTTGAGTGAAAGGGATAATGGAAGGCAGAGGACGCCTTTGAAGTCATTTCGTCGAACACATTGAGAGCATCCTCAACATTAGTGATTTTCACACGCTGGTGTTGTTGGGTGTTTCTTGATTCCATCGATTTAGAAGCTCGAGAGTTAAACAAACCCAAGTAATTGTTCAAGAAAACAACGACAGAAGAAGATTGAACAAGACAAGGCAGCATACCTCCGAATCTGAGTCCGAGTCTGCTGCTGCCATAACCAAATTTCAAAGAAGAAGAAGAAGCAGCAGCTGTTGTTGCCCGCATCATCTTCAGTGAGTCAGAGAGTCCGTGCGTAAATCCTCTTTTCGAAAAACGTTCGCTGAGGATGATTTGTGGAGGAAAGAATCTGCTTCAACTTGTTAGCGCGATTTTGTTTTTCTTCTTAGTTTGAAAACAAGAAGGGTAAAGCTCGCAAGCTTCAATATCCCTATTTGACGGAGAAAATTAAAGACAACTACCTTATAAAATGGGGTCAAAATAATAAGATCGTACCAGTCACAATAGAAAGTGTAATCAATTGGGAATTTGTAAAGATTTTATATAAAATTTTGATTCAATTTTTTCGAAATTTCATGGAGACATGTAAAATTTGTGAATGGTTACAATACACTACAAAATCTCTCAAATTCCTTCAAATTCCTCAACTTTTCCAAATTATTTAAATCCAAATTCTAATTGAATATACCTGAAATTTTGTAAACTTCTTTAAACCTGCAATATTTTAGTGCAGATAGAAAAATGATTAAGAAAAGATGGAATTCGTATATTCTTTGTTTAATCACATCTGACATCGTTTGATCGGATACAGATTGTACCTTTCATGATGGAATTCGGATGCATCATTTGATCAGATGTGTATTGTAATTTGTATCTGGTGTTGGAGCAACTGCACAAGTTTAAGAAATGGATTGAGTCCTCCTCCTGTAGCTATCATTTCCTCCATTGCTTCTTTCATCAGACCCATATCCTTTAAAATTAATTATTCATAATCTCCCTAAGATAATTATTACTAAAAAATAAAAGAGAAGTTAAACCAAGCCATAAATATGTCTGCGAATTTCATATCAGTCTCATTACTCTGCTTTTCAACAGATTTCATAATCTTAAAAGAAGAGAATCATAAGAGTTGCTTGATCACTTGCCAATGCGCGAATGAATGGCTACCTAAACTGCACTCAGCAGCAGAACAACTCCCTCCAATGTAGCATTCAAGAGAAGGAAGAACCGAAGAGTCTTTAGCCTTTCAAAATACATCACAATAATATATTATTGCTCAATTTTCTAACCCTAATGAAAAGTAAAATTAATAAACACAGGAAATTACAGCTTACGAAAATAAATTAAACGCGAATGTTCAACGGTTGAGGAAAGAAATGCAAAACCTGAACGGGCAAACGGAAACATTTGGTACTTCACACTCTCTCTCTCTTTTTCTCTTTCTTCTTCCTCTTCCAGCAAACTTTCTTATAATTGTGCGTAACCATTTCTTATAGTCTTACAATTGTAGGGTTTTGCAAAAAAAGAAAGAGGAGATGCTGACGTTTCGTGGGTTGCTCTTATTAATTTTTTTTGGTAAATTACATTTTACTCTCTCATATTTGTGGTTAATTGTAACCTCATACAACATTTTAAAGACATTTCAATTACATACATTTGCTTATTATTTCATTTCAATTTCATACATCTGTTAGTCAATCTGTTAATTTGACCGTTAAATGATAATGTAGCAACTGTGGATCCCATATTTTTCTAATTTTTTTTTAAACTTATATCGGTACATCTTTTTCGTTGATTTGAAAATGTATTCATGCCAAGTTATTCGAAGAAATTTATTAATATTATTAGGCATGATATCTATTATTATTATTATTATTATTCGTCATTCTAAAGAATGTACTGATATTTTGGGTTTGAAGAATTTACCAAACGTTTTATGGTACAGTAATTTCTGGTTAATATTGATGAATGTACTATACATATGTACACAATATGTTCTATAATATTTGTGAGTACTTACTTTTTATGGCAAAACATGATTTTCTATATGATTTTCATGAGACGTTTGGTTGTTTTTACATTTAGTTTCGTAAGTTTTTGAACAATGATTAAAAAAACGTTGTAAACTTAACGTATACTCCCTACAAATATTGGCCTTCCAATTTACATGATCATGCAAATAGAGCACCACAAGCATGGCCAAAAAAAAAAAAAAAAAAAAAAAAAAGCAGAAAACAAAAATAAATCGTCGCCTGAGAGGTTCAAACTCTCCCGGGGGGGGGGGATCCCAATGTACTTAGCAAGCACACGCCTTAACCACTCGGCCAAAGCGACTGTTGATGATGTAGGAGGCTATTCATCTTTTTTAATTAACTATTTAATTAAACAAAAATTAAAAAAAAATCGTCGCTTGAGAGGTTTGAACTCTCGCGGGGGATCCCCATGCACTTAGCAAGCACACGCCTTAACCACTCAACCAAAGCGACTGTTGATGACATAGGAGGCTACTCATCTTTTTTAATTAACTATTTAATTAAACAAAAAATTAAAAATAAATCGCCGCCTGAGATGGGAGGCTGACGTCTTATGGGTTTCTCTTATTAATTTTTCGAGTAAATTACATTTCATTCCCTTAGGTTTGTGGTCAATTGCAACTGCATACAATATTTTTGAAACATTTTAATCACATACCTTTACTTACTATTTCATTGCAACTTCATACATCCATTAGTTAATTTGACCGTTAAGTGATGATGTGTCAACTATGGATCCCACCTTTTTGTTGATATAACAATAAAATTTGTCCGCATTGATTAAAAAATAAATTATAAATAAAAAATTGGGCCCCACCCCTTAAATCTTAGTCCGCAGCTATTCCAAAATCCAGCTCATTCTCATCAGAAAACGCTGACCATGGTTGTTGCCATTACCACAACATTGAGTGTCACATCCTGGGCTCGACTCCACCGTAGCACGATATTGTCCACTTTGGGCCCCGACCAGACTTTCACGGTTTTGTTTCTGGGAACTCACACGAGAACTTCACAGTGGGTTACCCATCCTAGGATTGCTCTTGCGCAAACTCGCTTAACTTCGAAGTTGGTATTAGAGCCAGGTTTGTTCAGAGCATACTTAGGACCTTATGTTACTGTAGTAGTGTGCCTGTTATGACGTCAGTTGGAAGTCACGACCTCCGAATTTGTGCCATTTGGCGCAGTTGTGCAAACCTTTCTCTCTTTGAATTGTCACATTCTGGTTGAAATACAAGAATTCGTGTCGGGATCCGGGCGTGTCATCAAGTCTAGTCGATTTTCAATTTTTTAATCTCTTAAACATACCTATTTGTATAATTTTTCCATTTTTTAAATATACCAATTGTTATATGTAAAATGTACCAATTTCTTTTAATGTAAAGCGTACCCTTTTTTTTAAATTTAAAATCCACTCACTTTTTTTATTTTTTTTATTTATTGGAATAAGTCAATATTTAGGAGAAAAGGAATGTAAATATTTTGTAATTATTAGAGTCATGTTTTAGAGTCTCGGTTTTAAACAAAAAGGGGCAATGAAGTTGTATTGTGATAATAAGTTCGCGAGAGAAATTGCTGAGAGTCCAATACAGTATGACAGGACTAAGCATGTTGAGGTTGATAGACATTTTATCAAAGAAAAGTTGGAGAAGAAGATTATGTTAATACCGTTTGTGAACTTGGAGGAACAACTTGCAGATATTCTTACCCATGCCGTGTGTAGTAGGAGGTTCGATGACTCGCTTGTCAAGTTGGGCATGAGTAATATCTATGCTCCAGCTTGAGGGGGAGTATTGGAATAAGTCAATATTTAGGAGAAAAGGAATGTAAATATTTTGTAATTATTAGAGTCATGTTTTAGGAAGGATATATGTTTGTGTCCTTTATTGTTTATTGTTTCCTTATAAAACAAGGATTGTATCTTGTATATATATTTTCAGTTATGCAATACAATGATAATTACGCTGTAAATTTCAATTTTTTTCTAATCTATTTTTTTTAAACTTATATGGGTACATTTTTCTCGTTGATTTGAAAATGTATTCATGTAACATCTCACATCGCCGAGGGGAGTGATCCTTAAATGTTATTCCCATCCCTACCTAGCACGAGGCCTTTTGGGAGCTCACTGGCTTCGGGTTCCGTAGGAACTTCGAAGTTAAGCGAGAAGGGGGCTAGAGCAATCCCATGATGGATGACCTACTGGGAAGTTGTTCGTGAGTTCCCAAAAACAAAACCGTGAGGGAATGGTAAGCCTAAAGTGGACAATATCGTGCTACGGTGGTGGAGCGGGCCTGGGAAGTGATTCACCCCGGGCCGGGATGTGACAATTTGGTATCAGAGCCTAACCCTGGTCGTGGTGTGCTGACGAGGACGTCGAGCTTCTAAGGGGGGTGGATTGTAACATCCCACATCGCCCAGGGGAGTGATCCTTAATGTATATTCCCATCCCTACCTAGCACGAGGCCTTTTGGGAGCTCACTTGCTTCAAGTTCCATGGGAACTCTGAATTTAAGCAAGTAGTGCGCGAAAGCATTCCCTGGATGGGTGACCCATTGGGAAGTTCTCGTGTGAGTTACTAGAAACAAAACCGTGAGGGCGTAGTCGGGGCCCAAAGCGGACAATATCGTGCTACGGTGGTGGAGCAGGCTCGGGAAATGGTCCGCCCTAGGCCGGGCCGAAGTTAAGCGAGTAGCGCGCGAGAGCATTCCCTGGATGGGTGACCCATCGGAAAGTTCTCGTGTGAGTTCCCAGAAACAAAACCGTGAGGGCGTAGTCGGGGCCCAAAACGGACAATATCGTGCTACGGTGGTGGAGCGGGCCGGGAAGTGGTCTGCCCCGGGCCGGGATGTGACAATTCATGTCAAGGTATTCGAAAAAAATTTACTAATGTTATTAAGCCTAATATTCATTATTATTATTTTTCTTGGTTTTGAAGAATGTACCCAAGTTTTTGGTTTGAATAATTTACCAAACGTTTTATGGTACAGTAACTTTTGGTTAATATTGATGAATGTACCATATATACTAGCCTTCATGCACGTGCTTACGCGCGTGCAAAAGGCATTTTTTGAATCATGGTGTGCTACAATTGACTTACACGTTTTAAAATGTATTTATATGTGTGAATTGACAAAAGGAAAGTCAAATATTTGAAGCAAATGATTAATCTTAGATCATGCTAGAAAAAACCCTTCACACACCAATCAAAGCAGCTGAATTCACATAATAAAATCGGTC